CAAGAATTAAAAAAATATTTAACAATTTTTTTATAGACACAGTAATATTGTTTATAAGAAAAGTGAAAAAACGAAGTAAAAAGCTCAGGATTGTCTCTCCGCATCCAATTTCATGCGCTAAAAAACATAACTAAAGGATTCAAATGTGTTTCTTAAAACGTATCAAGAGTATTTATAGAACAGTTAAATCGATATAATCGATTTTTATTCTATCTGTTTTTCGATATAATTAAAAGTGAGTATACTTGAGTAATAATTTACTAATTACTTTTTGTGCTATGGAAAGTAATAAAGTTTTTCATTCAATTTAAAACATCATAATCCTTTATATTTGTCCCTTTGAAAACTGCGAAATTGCTTTTACAAAACTTCACATCAGCACACGTGATTTTAAAACTAAACTGTAAAACATAAGTAACTTAGATTGCAAGGTCGAAGTCATCAACTGAAACATAATAAGTTTTTTCTTGATTAAATTATGTTTATGAAGCACTTTTTTGTTTGAGTGCATTGTGAGCTCATTGTTGTTCCGACTTTCGATACGAAAGTGACGGAATATTTGTGCACGGGTGGATTTTTTTTTCTTCAGACAAATTTCGACTTTTTAACTAGCCATTTTTGACGGAATTTTTTTATATCATTCGAAAAGTATTGTTGTCTTGAGCTTAAATGTGAAAAGATATTTCACCTTTGATCATTTTTCGTAAAGTTACGGGGGTTTAAAGATTGCCATTTTGGGACAATTAACGCGCGTTTTATTTCACGCTATTAACGCGTAAGCGGAGAGTTAATTCGTCTTAGAAATGGTTCCAAATCGATTGAAAGTATCTTATTTGCCAAAATTCATTTGTTACAAAAAGCAAAATCTATCCCTTTGTACTTTAAATGGCGTGTGGGAATGATTTTCATTTAAAAATTTCAAATTTTAGAAAAAAATTTCCTTCAGTTTTATTTCATTTAATTTTTAAATGTTATTACTGCTCCATAAACTTTAAATGGCAGTCGGAACATTCAGGGCTCCACCCTGATACTAGTCTTGTTTTGTTTTAATGATGAATACGGCTGGTATGTTTTTGGTCTACAGCGTGAAACTTTCGATTCATTTGTAGGGGTCTTTATCGAACTTTCGTTACTTTGTAAAGATTTGTGTTTGGATGCACCAAAAAGTGACAGAACATCTCATCTTTAGTGAACTTTTCTTTGACAGTAATTTTGTAATCCATGATAAGATAAATTTATTCATGAAGTTTATTAGAGTCAATCTTAGTAGAATTTTTTGTATGGATTATGATCAATTATAATTGATCATAAGATTTCATAACATCTTTAAAAATGTCTGTCAGGATTATAATTGATTGTTGGAAATAATTTAACAAGACTGCTCATATCAGGGCGAAGCCTTGAATGTTCCGGCTGCCCTCTAAGGTTTATGGAGCAGTAATAACATTAAAAAATTAACTGAAAGAAAAAAAATGATTTTTTTTTGAAAATCATTCCCCCACACGCCATATAAAGCACAAAAGGATAGATTTTGCTCCTTGTAACAAATCAATTAGGGCAAATAAGCTTCTTTCGACCAATTTGGAACGATTTCTATTACGGATTAACTCTCCGCTTACGCATTAATAGCGCAAAATATATCGCGCTTTAATTGTCCCAAATTGACCAAAATGGCAATCTTTAAACCCCCGTAACTTTACGAAAAACGATCACAGGTGAAATATCGTCTCACATTTGAGCTCTCAGGACAACAATACCTTTCGAATGATGTTAAGAAATTCCGTCAAAAATGGCAGTTAAAAGGTCGAAATTTGTCTGAAGAAAAAAACCCACTACGAGCACAAATATTCCGTCTTTTTCATATCGAAAGACGGAACCTTTTAAGCTAGTTATTATCAAACATAATTGTCAGAATACTTTTTATTTCAAGATTATTCAGATATTTGTTATATTCAATTGGTTAAGCTTAAACTTTGATGCAAGGGCCTATCATTGTTGTCGGTTCTTATTAAAACTCGTTTCAAATTTTTGTTCATAACTTACGTTCACTGAAGCCAAACAGAACTTTTTATTTAATAGATAAAAAGCAACGTAGTATTTTCAATTATGATTATGTGGTTATTTCTTTGTTTTAACGTTAAATAGACCCATTCAACAACAGTTTGAATATCAAGACTTGTTGCTGGTTTTGGTTTCAATTTTTCAGCTTGAATGGCGATTCACATTCAGTTTGAAGTTCATATGGGCTCATCTTTAAGTGTCAGCAGAAAATGTTGCCGCGAGACAGATGGGATTTGGAAACATTTCCGATCTCTCTCAACGCATCAAAAAAGCATTATTTGTCAAAAAAAGTTCGCCTTTGGCTACAAAAAGTTGTCCGAAAACGCTTTTTTCGCAATTGGCCTTGAATAGGTTGCTTTAGCGCCAAAAGCTTCTTTAGAAAATTTTATGATTGGTCGTCCGAAATAAAGAGTACCATAGAGTGACCATTTGAGTAGCAAGAGATCATCCGCATCCTTGTTCCTCCGAGAAAACCGTCTCTGGAATTTCGAAAATTTCATTGCCCATTCAAAATTTTTAATTAATGGGGAAAATTGCCCACGTTAAAAACTTCAAGAGTCAAAAAGGACTGTCAGATGACTCAGAGAAATGTTTTTAGAGAAGCTTTCTTGTAAATGAAAGACTTACTGGTTCAGAAATAGAACTCTCCTCACATCTGCTGGATGTGTCGGCCATGTTTCCGATGACCCATCTCGCCTGATGGGGCAGACGGTCTGACCAGAAGTCGATCGGCAGCTCACTCATCCAGATCATGGCCTCTACCAATTGGCCTGAAAAAAATACTCATTATCTATCAGCTCTTAAGAATCAATTCCCTGATGAAACGCCACTTTATGATTTAACACGGTTTGAAGCAACATTTTCTCTTCAATTCAATTCAAAAACGTGTTCACTTTGTGCAACCCTACTTGAAACTGGAAAGCTGACGAATAAGTTTTTAGTTGTAAAATCGATGTATGAAACTATTTTGTAGAAAAATCGTTTTTCGTAGCATTTTTGCAAGATCATTTTTTGTCAAGAGCTTACAATGAAGACATCTTTATGTTAAAAACTTACACAAGATGTGTTTTTTGGAGTCTTACAAACATCTTACAACATAAGAATTCGAGCTCAAGTTTTTTAACAAAGGATTCGATTTTTGTAACAAAGACTTTTTGATATGCTTTGCCTTATTTGATGATTTGTTTAAAAGAACTCGATGACTTGCCGGAAACTATACATTATGTCCCAATTGTATCTAACCCACCTACTGATTTTGAACACTTTTTAAATAATCTTTGAATCCATTTAATATTGTTAATTGGCCTACTTTTTGAATGAACTGTCAAGTTGAAGTTGGGCAAATCGAGGCAGAAGATTGGGTTGTCCAGCCAGTTCGAAGAGGTCAAGCCCGATTGAGTGAACAAAAACTCGGTCTGAGTTTGTTCAAACAGAATAGGCCACCACCCTTCTGGGCTCTCATTTCCCTCTATCGTCAACTCAATGAAGAGTCCCTTGAGATTGGAGAGATCTTTCGATCCATTTCTGAACAACATTCAATCATGATCATATTCAACCATTCAAATTTACTTTAAAAAACTTCAGTGCTTATACTTTTAACATCTTTGTCAATTGATTTTCAACAAGTAGAACTTGTAATTTTGTTTTTTAGTTGAAAAAATGAGTTTTTATCTGTTTTTTTTTCTGTGGGAAAGGCTTACAAGAGCACGCCTTGCTTTAATAAGGACTGATTAAGAGGTTTGTTTCCGAGAGGCGCTAGTAATTCGAGTGATGATTCATAATGTTAAATTACACAGATGAAGAGTCCCTCTTCTACATCTCGTGTTCTTCAAACATTTCGAGGTGGGAAACTTACTGAATTTGGATCCTTTCCAAACAAATGGACCCATTACCAACATCTTTCGTCATCCGCATTTCCGATGTGTCCACACTGGGCGTGGTCAGTTTCGGAGTGTAGAGACTCATTTTACACTCCGACCCATTGTACCCTTAAACATGTGTTGCCAAGTTTAGTCTGCCTCGAAGCAAGTTAACAAGGCATATACAACATAATACTGTTAGGAATGATCATAGTCTGTTACTTTCACGTCTCTTATGTTCTGTTTGCCCATTAGGAGTGTCAAAGTTACCTGGGTGATAGTGCCCGGAGATCCACCAGAACCCAGATTGACTCCGACCTTGTTCGCATCTGAGTGGGTGTGAGGAATGAGTTGGAGCTCCAAACTGGTTCTCTGCTGCAGAAGCTCTGTCCTTCTGATATTTTCCATCGTTCCGAAGCCCTGCACTATTTGCACAGAAAAAAATTGACAGCAAGAACAGAAACATAAGTGGGAGCATGGCTGCACCTTCTATGTATAAGAACCAATTTGGGAAATCTTGTAAAAATAAAAGAAAGCGGATACAGCTTTAGAGGGAGAAAATTAATCGGAGTTGTGTGATGAATACTATGCAAACACGTGATATAGCTTTCAAAAAAATTTGAAGTAGATCTGGCAAACTTTGGAAACGTGAAGTTTTGATAAATCATATCCAGCAGTGGATACGAGCTGTGAAAAATAAAGATAGTTTTGTATGCGATAAGTCGAAAACAAGCATATATTGATGGAACTGATAATTGGCTATAAGTATAAAATAATGAAGTTAAAACAGCAATCAGTGCCGATGTGGACATAATAACGTTGTTTTGAATGAACGTCATAGTTTTATAAATAAAAAATGTGCACACATTTTGAAATTAGTGCGTCTGTCTTTCCAAAGCACGTGTTATTGAATCTCATGAATCTGATGAACGTACGGCAATGTTCACATGACAAGTTGCATATTGCGTGGCCACTATGGTAGAAAGAGTTCTAGAAAGTTCTAGAAGGTTCTAGAATGTTGTTCAGCGTCATTGATTAATTCGGAGTGCAGCCAGTATTTAGACAGCCGCGTATTCATTCTCGTCAGTATTTAGACAAATACTGTATGAACCAATCAGAATCGAGAAAAGACCTAAATAAACCAAAATAAATCATAATTATTTATTAATTTCTTCTATGTCTCGATTCTGATTGGCTGAAACAGTATTTGTCTAAATACTGACCAGTCTGCTTACGCGGTTGTCTGAATACTGACCAGTCTGCATACGCGGTTATCTAAATACTGATATGTAACCGATTAATTTATTGTACGTACGTTAATGGGGGCTATTCTCATGCGCGAAAAAATTTGTGCGCGAAAAATCGAAAACAAAATTAGCCGAAAGTCAGTTTTTAAAAGAAGCAGTTGCCATTCAATTAAAAAGAAGTTAACGAAGAAACAGTTTGCTTTTTCCTTACGAAACCCTTGAAATGTAAAACTTGTCCCAATTTTGCGGCGGTCAATGACAATATTAAGGTTTTGCATATTTCTGCCGTTTTTATATTCAGCCAATCTCAATACCTCAGTCATTGGAAATGTTAACTTTCTTTCCAAATTTTAAATTACTGAAATCTGATTGGCTGATTTTTTTTGCACATTCGGACCTTCGTGCATTGAAATTAAGACAAATCCTATGCGGTGCGTCTGTCTTACCAAAGCATGTTTTATTGAATCTGATGTACGTACAGTAATATTCACATGACAAGTTGGATATTGTGTGGCCACTATAGTAGAAAAAAGTTCTAGAAAGTAAAAACAGCAATCAGTGCCCGTAAAACTGCAATCAGTGCCGATGTGGACATATTGTCGTTGTTTTGAATGAATGTCATCAGTTTACAAATAAAAATGTGCACATATATTGAAGTTAAGACAAATCCTGTGCAAAAACAATTTGCACGGAGAAACTATTTTTACAGCTCGTATCAACTGTTGGCAAAGTATAGTAGGACAAATAGCAGGTCAAATAGGACCAAATGTTCTAGGTTTATCGTGGAACCACTATCAGGCCGCTATTTTTGATGTACAATGAATTAATCAATGACGCTGAACAACATTCATCAGATTGTGAATATTAACGTACGTACATCACCTTGCATGTGAATATTAACGTACGTACATCAGATTTATCAGATTCAATATTACGTGCTTTGGTAAGACAGACGCACCAAATCTGATGTCTGTCTTACCAAAGCACGTATTATTGAATCTGATAAATCTGATGTACTTACGTTAATATTCACATGCAAGGTGATGTACGTACGTTATTATTCACAATCTGATGAATGTTGTTCAGCGTCATTGATTAATTCATTGTACATCAAAAATAGCGGCCTGATAGTGGTTCCACGATAAACCTAGAACATTTGGTCCTATTTGACCTGCTATTTGTCCTACTATACTTTGCCAACAGTTGATACGAGCTGTAAAAATAGTTTCTCCGTGCAAATTGTTTTTACAGCTCGTATCCACTGCTTGAGTAAAGTAAACAAGGTCGGAGTAAACTATAAGTCCACTAAAAGTGAATTGTTTTCACTAAGTATCCAAGACTCGCTGCTTTGGCGGGGAAAAATTTCGAAGACCCAGTTTGAGCGTGTTTTCAGCAATGGTTTCTGGTTGATAACATTTAAAAGACCTAGAATGAAAGTGAGTGCGAGAATATGATTTTGCAAAGAACTAACTAACTGGAACCTGATCTAAACTACATTTTATTATTTATGATTTAGACATTTTACCACAGTAAAGTATTTAATATTAACCAATCATAACCCATCTAACTAACTACCCACTTATTTGTAAGTGCTGAAATTACTTGTAATTTCAGCACCAGAGAGATTTGAATTTAACTTAGAAAATAGTTGCCTCTCCCGAGTACTTCAGCAGCCGCTACAATACCAGTATACTCTAGACCTATTGAGCCTAGCAGAGACTAGTTAAACACCCTGAGACTAGTAGTTATAAGAGTAAGATTAGGATCGGTATCAGACTAAGAAGTTGCACGAATCTATCCGGCCGAAAATAAGATAGCGTGACGAACAGACGGTGTACCCTATCCGAAATTACTCTATGAGATAAGCCCCAAGTACTTAACTCATCTGGTGCGACCATAAGTCTCGAACGAGACCTTAAAAAATAGCTCAGAACTAACAAAAATTAGATTAGAGATAGACAAAAACATTTTCAAAATGTTATACGATAATAATTTGATTGAATGGTCTCTACGACTCAATAGATCAAAACCGCTCTTCCGACAAAAACTAGAACAACCACGTATTGGAAACAGACCTCGGACAAGAGACGACATACGACTACGGAGAAACTTACCAAATAGTTTCATGATCGTACGCCAAAAGCCACAACAAACTTTTATATTTAGAATTTTAGTGGCAATGAATTTAGATTTTCATTCGCAAACATAAAGTTCTTGAAGAAAAATCTTCAATGCATCTACCAGGCGCTAAATAAATTATTAATTTTCAATAACGATTGATAAAAACACCTCTAATCATTTCTTCACCTACAGTACTATATAAAACATATTCGAAAAATATTTTATCCAAAATAAAAATAAAAATCAGTAGCATGACAATAAATCGTTAGTAAACATCAATCATCTTGTTGTTCCAGCTTCATCACCTAAACATAACGGCAATCATAAATCAACTAGCTTCATCATCAGAACTAAAATTCACAATTTGTTATTATAATTTTTAAACTCTATATTCTCTAAACCTAAATTTTCTAAATTTTAAACAGATCATCAAGGCTTATCCTTGGATCTAAGTTAATTTTCTATTGTTAATTTAAATTCTGATCATCAAGGCATATCCTTGGATCAAACAGAACAATTTTGTTCTCCCCCACCCACTTATTAAATGTCTAACGACCTCAAACGTCGATTCACTACCCAACCTTTTCAAAAGACCCAGGAATAATAGAAATTTTCCAAATACTAACCATTTGAATTAGGCTAAACAGTGAAGAACTTCGGTTATTCATCCTTCACTTGACCCCTCCTCTTATACGACCCAGGATAATCATAGACTTAGTAAGTTTAAAATAGTATCTAACGAACTACTTGCGTTCTAATTACACCTAAGCCTTGTGGATCGATTTACTATTCTCCAACCCTTGAACACAATCACTAACCATAAGTAAGATTAAGTAAGTTAACAACTTAGCTTATACTAGCCACGAGAAAGTAAAAATCTTTCTTCGGAATCGATATACTTTTCTCTCCAACCCTGAATAAAAAGACCCAGGCTAAGCTAACCAAAAAATTGTCAGGACTATTAGTCTAGGATATTAAAATCACTTACAAACAACTTTGCATCCATCATCCTAAACTTTATGTCTTTAAAAAATCTAGGAAATAAACAAACAATCGTCATACACAATTGTCAAATTGAAAATCAAAAATACGATCTTGTTATAACCCCGCATACACAAACAATTGAATACATTCACACAAAACGGCAAACACTAAAAAGAACAATCCTAAGAAAGCAAAAACAAATAACACGAAAAAGATTTTCAAAACACTGAAATGCATTTTCCTAATCAGAAGTCAGTAGTCTCGACGCACTAAACAAAGTAGAAGACTCAATAAACCAAACTTATCCAATCCAGGACCCAGTATATTTTTCCGATTCAGAAACCAACACAATTTCAGCGAAAAAAGGAAAAAACAGAAGAAAAAAGAAACACAAACACAAACCAGTACATCTATACAATTGGAGTCAACCAATTAGACACATTAATAATTATCCATTAACAGTCATCAAATGAAAAAATGAGCAACACTCAAAGTGAAGAAAGTCTCGATTACGAACACGCTTTCCCCTTCATTATAGATTCAGAAAATGATAGAGGACAAATAAAAATTTGTAAAAATTTACTCATAAACTTATTTGAACCAGGAATCAGCCCATGTAAAACAGAATTTCCAGATGTAAAAATCAATAGACAAATAATAGATCACAATCTCAAAGATATCTCTAAAATAACACAACAATACGGTATCTACACTATAGGAATCTGTACACCAAGATATGATAAATATGTCATTCAAACAGTCGATCTTGATCTAGAATTTTCAAAGGTATTCACAGAATATATCAAAATATACAATGTCATAACTCACAAAGAGCAAATTCAACATTCACAAATGAAGTTTTTGCTATAATATACACATATACAACAATATTAGAAACAACAGAAGTTCAAAGTACATCACCAATCCAGACATCTAAACACACAAAAGTCAGAAATGAAATCACTGCATTTTCTACATTTTTAAACGCAATTCGTGAAAATTTTTACAGCAATGATGTTTCACAAAATACCAAACATGATTTACAAAAAATACTAGCATGGTTTACCATCGATTATTTCACACATAAATTAGATTTAATTAGCCAAGCAAGAAAAAACCTTAGACCTCAAAGTAACAATGACGACACTGTCATTGCAGATCAATCAGACTACGTTTGGGATCCTGATTGGTCTCATCCGTTATTTATAAACATCCCAGCTGATATCTCAAGTCAAGCGATAGATACAAAATCTATTCACCCAGACTTTATAAAAATAATACATTAACAATTGACGCCACACCTTTAAATAATACATTTTACTTTTAAATATAAAGTTAAATAAACATATAATACATTTTCACCCGATACACAAAACAACAGTTTAAACTCAACCGTAATACATAATGAAAACCTCAATGGAACTCGAAATCTTACACAGCAAGATATTCAAACACCATCACACTTCATGAATGAAGAAATTGTCCACACAACAGTAACAACTACGCAACAAAGTATTTCACCAATACATCCATTTTAAACAGCACCAAAAAATAATAAAGCAACATCACCACAAATAACATTACAATCACTCGCATTAGAAGTATTAAAACTACCCTACGCAGGATATTTATTATCAGGAAATAGATCAAATTTTCTTGATAACGAAGGAAACATTTTATGGTTTTATACTCGCACCAAAAAAGTATCACCCTCACACGTTTTTGAAG